GGCCGCGGCGGCGGCTGCCGCGGTCGCCGCGCCGCACGAGGCGGGGGCCGGCGCAGGGCAGGCGTGGCGGTCGCTGCGCAACGGGCTGCGGCAGGTGCAGGGAGGCGGCGGCAGCGGCGGCGGTGGCGCTGGTTCGCGGGGTGACGAGGCTGTGCTGGGGGAGATGGTGGGCAGCGCGTCGATCGAGGTGTTTTGCGAGGTGCGGGGCTCGGGGGACGCAGTGGGTGCGGCGCCATGGAGCTGGTTGCCATTGGCTTGCAATGGGGCCGCGAACGGCACCATCCCCGTGCTTGGTGGTGCTGTTGCTGGCCCTGCCGGGCCGGCTCACAAGCCTCACCCCTCAGCTCCCCCTTTGGAGGCTACCATACCCAACTGTAAACCACACCCCACCACACCACCACACCACCACCCCTCGTCACCCCTGCTCTCCAGGTCATCCCGCCGTTCCACCTGATGCCGCGCAGCAGCCTGGAGGCGGCCTGCAACGCGGTGCTGGGGGGCCTGGTGCGCAGCCTGCTGCCAATATTCATGAGGCAGCTCGCCGCAGACTACAAGGTGAGGGCCGCTTTCAGGGCGGGGGCGGTCGCAAGGCGTCAAGGGGGCGGCAAAGCGTCGTGTGGACTGGCGGGCTGTTTGGGGTGGGTGGGTGTTCGACCATGGCAAAGGCCGTGTAGTTGGTCCATGACAGTGGCGCGAGCGCGGAGCCGGCTGCGTCTCGCTCTCCGCGCCAACCCCTCTCACCGGTGCCCACCCCTCTCCCCTGCACGACCCCGCACCGCGCCGCATCAGCGCTGGGCGGCGGACGAGGGCTACCGGCGTGAGCGCGCGGCGCGCAGCAAGCCGATGGCGTGATCGGTGGCGTCCCGCAGGCGCCAGCGCCTCACTGCAACGGCGGCAAGACGCGACGCCTTGATGCAAGGGCAGGGCAGGCAGAGTGGCGTCAACATGTATTCTCCTAGGGGCACAAGGAGCGCCCTCGCGCATTGCCCCATCTCTTTCTCACCCCGCTTATCAGCCGTGAGGGAGCGAGGGGATTCGGGGCGTGTCCGTTTTGGGGCAACCACATTCAGCACGCGCCTGCAGGCGGCACATCAGCCGTGAGGGAGCGAGGGGATTTGGGGCGTGTCCGTTTTCGGGCAACCACACTCAGCACGCGCCTGCAGGCGGCACCTTGAGCCGGCACTAGGGCAGGCAGTGCCTGGATGTTGTGTGGATCAGCGTGTTTGGGAGGGCTCTTATGTGAGTTCAACCGCAGCGCATTTTCAAGGGGCACCACCCCCTACCAGGCTGCGGGCCCTGACTCATTGTGGCGTGCAGCATCCGGCCGCATGCCCGCACGCGGCCTGCTTAGGCCCCGCGCGAGGCTTCCCGGCCAGACCCATTTAACATCACTCCCCCCCCCACACCCTGTTGGTCCTGCGGGGCGGCTCGTGGCGTTGGGGCGGAGCCCAGCAGCCACGCCTGCCATTTATGCATCGATGATTTATTCGAGGTGTGGCGTTTCTGTAGGCAGGGCCCGTCGTTGCTAGGGCTACGCAAGGTGCACGGGTTTCTGCTGTGCGGCCGACTATTTGTCTAGGGGACAAGACCTCGCAGCCCTGTGAGTCCTGGAGATGCAATCCTCACGAAAGTTTGCTCTGCACCAAATGACCGGTGGTTAAGTTTTTCCACTGCAGATCAGGGCACGGCGCGCGCGTGCGCGGCCACGGGGGCGGCCTCCCTCGCCCCTCCTGATGGAGCCTCGCCACCCCGGAGCGCCACTGGGACCGCTTTGTGTTGCACCCCCTTTTCAGCACTCCCCTAAAACCTGCCAGAAGAGTTGACGCATGCTCCGGAAGAAGCGCCCGTCTGCAGACCCGGCGCCGCGTGTGCCGCCCATTCTTGACGGCATGTTGAGAGATCACCCAGTATGTATTGCAGCGCAAAGGGGTAGGGAGGCGGCGGGCCCTACGCCAAAACCACAAAGACCAATTTGTTGTAACGATCATGCTTGACCGCCTGTTTCCTGCCCACCTTGAATGACCCAGTCAAGGGCTGGGGGGGGCACACCAGGGTGGCGTGGGGAGGCATGCGCGTGGTCACGTCCCCCCCCCCCACCAAGCACCCACTATGCCACGGCCGCGTGGGTGTTGGGGTACTGCTATACACGCCCCAGGCGCGCGTCGAGCTGCGCCCAGCGCTGGGCCGGCGCTATGGAGGCCGAGGTTAGGGGGGCGGCCGGCGTTATGCCAGCCCGTGACAAGGGGTGCACCCCGTGTTGCGTGTGGGCGGCCCCGGGGAATGGGCCGAGGGCCACGGCACTGAGGGCGGTGCGACCACGCAATGATGGGGTGGCCCCCGCGCTGCCGGCATCCTCTCGAGCCATCTTTTCCGCGAACCACAACAGGTGGTGCCGCTGCTTTCATCAACCCTAGGAGCAGACGACCCTACTGCGCACCGGCCGGCTGTCTTGGGCAACGACGCTAAAGCCTCCTGCGACCCGCGCAGCGCCCCCAAAGAGTCCAAATAGGGGGAAACATGAGACTTCACTGCCCCCAATGCCCAGGCGGGAGGGGGGGCTTCATCCACCCCCTTGCGAACACACCAGGGCCCTTGGCGCCCGTGCCATTGGGCTGTGTCGTGGCAGGGACCGCGTCTTGCCGGTATCTCATCGATTGCGCGGTTTGTCCGCCAGGGCAGGTGGGTGCAGCCATTGCAGCACGTCCGTGGCCTGCGAGCCCGCTGCATGCTGCTGGCAAGCCGCATGGCGTGACGCGTGCCGTGTTGCGCCCTGCGTTTGAACAGCCTCCATGGTTTTAATCAAAGTGCTACAGAATAATCCATGTGCTTCCCCACGCAGAAACGAACACAAGGGGGGTCTCCTTCAGGATCTCCGGACTGCAGGCACCCCAGTTTTTTTTGCTGCTCGACCGCCCGATGCACCCCCTTCACTGTACTGGCGCAACGAACGCGGCGCGACGGACGTTCGGTCCTTGGCAGATGTGGAGTGAAAAAGGTTCTCGCAATTCAACCCTATATGCTGCTAGATCAAAAGGAGCACCCGCCGAAGCCGATGGCTGGTGCGACTACTAAGAGAATGTTTCGTATGATTCAACAGAAGCGCGCTGCTTGAATATGCGGTCGTTAGTACTTGGACAGTGCAGCTGCTGGACGTGCTCGTGGGCGCTCATGCGCTGCGGGTAGCCGTACGCGTCAGCCTTGAGCTATTGTTGGTGCTGCGTCAGCACGTTCCTGGTGTGGGGGTAGCAGCAAGCAAGTTTGTATAGTGACCACCAATGACTCTTTGAGGGCTGGGCCCAGCACCTTGTATGTCACTCACTTCAGAGCGCCTTGTTTCCTGCCTCCATCTGCACACCTATGCCGATTTTCCCCCTGCAAGACCCCACCTGAATTCCTGGTGCTGCAGCTGAAACCTGTGGATGGCTTTCGCCTCGGCCGCCACGCGCACGTTTGTCTTTTTGCATCTCAGGAGCTCGCACGCGTCCTGCACCACCGCCTGAGCCAGGTACGCCAGCACCTTGGGCTGCAAGCAAACGTGTCGTGCGTCTTGTCATTCGGCTGTGCTGCTCCCCTCAGCGGCCTTCTGCTGCTGCCTGTGCCAATTGGTATGTGGCTCGTGTCGCTGGTTGGCGCACTGCAGGGCTGGCTCCTGAAAGATGCTGAACAGGCTCTTGCGGCGGCGGCCACCGGCAGCGGCAGCGGCAGTGGCGGTGGCGGGGACGGCGGTGGCGCAGCGGCGGCGGCAGCGTGTGTGTGGTGGCCTGTCCAGTCAAGCAGGAGCAGCGTCTGCGCCCACAAGATTTTCGACTGTCCGCCATCATTTCTTGTTGATGCTCTTGGTTTTCCTTGTTTCCTTCTGTGTGTTTCGGTGGTGCCGCGTCTGTCGGAAGGTGAGGTTTCCTCAGCCAGCAATGCAACCCACACTGTTGCGCAGCAGGTCCTGCTGCCAGCTTCACTTGGACCTTGTTTTCAAGCCTCGCTTGCATGGCCCAGGCTTGATGTCCATAGGCTTCTTAATTACTTCTGACCCGCCCCCGGACTCCAGGCCAGCATCCAATTGAGTCCATGCAATTGTAACTACCAGCATGCTACCTGCCTGCGGTGGGTCCTGCCGCATATCAGCAGGTGCACACTAGCTATGTGAAGGACCACGCATATTCAAGGGTCGACAGCGACTTTGATGGACAACGAGAGCATGCCAGCGCCGCTGCGCTCTCGCAACGATCGGCGCCTCTCTCCCACACCCTTTCTTGCCTTCCCCAAACGTGCTGCCATTTTTTTGTGCAGCACGCTGGTCGAGAGGAAAACTCCGATAAACATTCAGAAGACAACTCATAATAACTCTAACGTTGTGGCAAATTCTGAGCCAATACAATTATCGCCCATGCCCTAGCCTTGGCACTGCCCCGCCTGGACAGCGTCAATCACAGAGTTACATCACGTTGACATCACCGGGACCAGGTGGCCGGCTCACTCAGTGACGAGCCTACAGAGCCGAGCGTACTGTAAAACCTATACCAGCGACCCTAAGTCTTGTTACGCATTTTGTTACCCAGTTGTAAGCCCTGCATTTGTGGACTCCAGTCGATTCGGCGAACATCACATGCTCGCATACGGGTGCAAAGAGTGAACGTTATTACCAATTTATCACACCATTCGCATTACAACCTGCCGCATATGCACGCCGGACTCCAATTTCAGTGCTCGATCTCGCAATCTGTGAGGAATGGAGCATGGTTTTTTCTTTCAAAACCGATTCTCATACCAATATAAATACTCTGGAGCTCGTGCATGGCAGGAGTGTACTGGAGTGGGTCGGTTCACCGCTGCAATAACTGCTGGCCCCCCCACACGTCAATGCACTGCCACGCCATTCTCTTCGCACCATCACGGCCAAGGAGGGCGTTTTCATAAAGTATACAAATATGATGTATCAGGCATGGCATGCTAGGTCTGGCGCCGCTGCGCTCACGCCACGCTCGGCGCCTCTAACACACACCCTTCCTTGCGATACACACAACGTGCTGCCGCTATTTTGTGCAGCATGCCCTTCAAGAGGAAAAATCCCATAATTATTCAGAAGACAACCCATCATAATTCTAACGTTGTGGCAAATTCTGAGCCAATACAAATATCGCCCAGGCCCTAGCCTTGGCATGCCCCGGGTGGACGCATGCTGCGACAGTGTGCGGCGCTACACTATGCTGCTGGCCACGCGTCGTGGAGCAATTCGTGCAAGTTCCAAGCCAAGTGCTGGCCTCTCAAATCAGCCCGGGCACAGTGCTGCCAACAGCAATTGCCATGTTTGACAGACACACAGCCAAGGCTCACCGTTGCAGTCATGCACTCCTTGCTTTGCCAGTAGTATGTACGCAAGCGACATGTCTCCAATTGGACGCACATGTCTTGAAACGGAGTGGCTGTGCCGCTGCGTAGCATCCACACTTAACGTTCAGGTAGAACCTGCGCCTGGCGGGCCATACAAGGCTCATTGTCCATCCTAGAAGCGCGTGCAAACCTGACGCCAGTTTGACCACGCCGGCCTGCTCCAGGCGTCTTCTTCTCCAGGCGTCTGCTTTTGAACGCAATGCCAGCTAGGGTGCTGGGCTGTAACCTGTCTACACCAACTCAATGTGATTCCATCCTTCTGCAACAACAAGATTGTGATGAAGGTGTTTTGAACTGATTTAAATGCTTCCCTACGCAGGAATCAATACAAGGGGGGTCTCCTTCAGGATCTTCGGAACGCAGGCCCCCCAGTTTTTTCTGCTCGACCGCCCGATGCACCCCCCTCACTGTACTGGCGCAACGAACACGGCGCAACGGACGTGCGGTATTTGGCAGCTGTGGAGGGAGAAAGGTCCTCGAAACTTCACACGTGTACTCTTCCGCTAATAATCATGCATGCCACGACGGATTTTCCTAAAAAATATTAGGGTGATGAAGTGAATGAAGGCCGCGCCGTGCGAAGCACACGCGCACGTGCGTGCGCCCCCCGCCTGCCCCCGCGCACTCCGCCACCTGCGCTAATTCTCAACCCCCTCCCCCCCACGCTTGGAACCCGGAGCCTTTGAGGAAGTTGCAGCATGTTGACCGCGGACATCACACACCAACATTCAAGGACATGCTTGATGCCCCCCAAGGGCATCGCATTGCATCACAAACCCACACCTGACACCGCACGCCCACACCAACGAAAGAATGTAATGACAGCGCCAAGGCATACTGGCCTGTCAAGGGCAGGGGAACAGCCGAAGCTGAATGAGGCGGGCAGACTCTGTGCCTGGCTGGTATCGCTGGAATGAAAGTTCACGCCCAACAAAGCTCTCTTCTGTCTAGGCAGTCAACAAGGCTAGCGGAGCCTTGCAATACAGGCATGGCATACCTTTCAATCAATTTTGGAACCCCCGGGCTATCGTCATTGGTAGGTGGCAGTAGCAACAAAGCGCAGCGCAGCACAACAAAGGACGGCAAGGGCAGCGAAGGGCAGCAAGGACAGCCGGGGCAAAAATTGACACCGAACGGCCCCAGGGGTGTAGAGGCACCCTACACAAGGCGACCAGGTTTCAACGAAACTGCAGCGCCACAGTCGTGCCGCTGGGAGGGGGTGGGCGCGCTCGTGCCAGTGGCGGCGCCCGGCCCTCCCAGCCACACCCATACAAGCGGTGGTGCTCCCTGTCGTGCCCTCACCCTGCAGGGCCCATCACCCTGCACGGCACTAGTAGCAGTGGCCCTTGTGCTGCACTAGCAGCCAACACGGCCCCCTCCACTCCAAAGGTCCGCCAGGCAAGTCGCCCCGCCCTGGCGAGGGGCTCGGGCTTGCGGCGCCACGCGCGCGCTGCCCGCGGCAGCCGCTAGCTGTGGGCCGTCACGTCTTCTTCATGAGCCGTGAGGTGACGTAGTAGCGCAGCTCGTCACGCGTATTGAAGGTGAAGTCCAGGTGCCTGGGGGGGGGGGGCGCAGGGAGGGGTGAGATGCGCGCACAGACGTGTGCGTCAGATGGGAGGGGAGGCAGAGCGGGGCGGGGCGGCGTGAGAATGCATGTGCAGGGGCGTGACAGGGGTCCTGATGACAAGGAGGAGGGTCGACGCCCCTAGGTGAGGGGGCGGTGCGCCTGACAGGCGAACAGCCTCTCCGACGTCCCGCCTTCCGGCGCCGTCGCCACACCCTGTCGCAGACGGCACACTCTCATGCCTTAGCAGGCGCGCCTGCCCGCCCCATCGTCTTGACGCGCACCACCCCCCCTCCCCCACTCACCCGTACTCAAACTCGCGGTACGTGACGTCCACCCCCGCGCCCCTCATGGCGCTGACGTGGCGCTGCACGTTGGACGGCGGGATGATGCCGTCGTGGACGCCCGCGCAGATGTCCACCGGCATGTCGAGGCGCCAGTACTCTGACGCAATGTCTGGGGGTTAGGGGGGGGAGGGGAGTGGCAAGGGAGAGTGCAGGGCGGGGCTGGATTCTGGGAGGTGTTGACACGTGGAATGCACGTGATGGGATGGCACAGCCACCCTGTGGGAGGGGGTGATTGTGAAGGGAGCATGAGGGGGTGCGCAGCTGAGCACAGGCGGCAGGCGGCGCGCCAGGTGCGGCTGGCATGGTCTGTAGAAGCTCGCAGTTGGGCGGCTGTTGCAGGCTTAGGCGGGCAATCGCACACATCCCCGCGGCCCCCCCCCCCTCAAAAGGGCAGCGCACCCGGCGGGTGTGGGTGGCCATAGTGCGCGAGGTTTGCTGCGCGCGAGCCATAGTCGTACAGCCTGAACCGCCCGCTGCTCCAGAGCTGCACAAAGTGCAGCCCCTGGTGGAACGACACCGCGGGCATGGCGCGCGCGTTGTAGTGTGGCAGCTGTGCGGCGCGGTCCCAGGCAGAGCGGTCCCCGTTGAGTGAGAAGCGCATGAAGGCGCGCAGCAGGGCGCCCAGGGCGGGCAGGCGGGCAATGTCCAGCATGAACTTGAAGGTCAGCAGCCGCACGGCAGAGGTGGGCAGGTAGATGGCGATGGCTGGGGGGGGGGAGGAGGTGGAAGGAGATGGCGGATAAGGGTGGTTTCCATGTGTGTGCGTGCGTGCATGCATGTGTGTGTGTGTGTGTATGTGCGCGTGTGTGCGCGCTTGTATGCGCATGTGTATGCGTATGTGTACGCACGCACATGCACGTGTGCGCGTGCGGATGTGTAGGTACAAGCAACTGCGTGCACATGTGTTATGAGTGTTGTCAGGGTGTGCATACGGGCACAGACGCACAAGCGAGAGCGCAACCTCGCAAGCGGCCAGCCAGCCATGCGAGGGCGCACCACACGCCCGGCCTCCTCCAGCGCGTTCCACGACCACCCTCCACCCCACGCTCTCACCCGCGCCCTGGCCCAGCACGAGCCGCACGGCCGCAAAGAAGGTGGGGGCTAGCGTGAGGATGGGCCAGAACACCCACGGCAGCTGGGGG